CATTCTGTCGTTGGCTTAGCCTGTCTAGCTATGTTAGCCTCTGATATGATGGCCCTGTCTAGCACTCCAATGTAGGTTTCTAGTTTCAAAACATTCACTCTTTCTAAAATGTCGCTTCAAAGCCCACCTTCAAAATGCCTCGCCTTCTTATAGTCCGTATCAATCACGTGTGGTGCAAACCTGGCCAATTCAGTAAATTTGGCCTCATACTCAGCTACAGTCATACTGTCTTGCTTAAGTTCCATGAACTCTGCTACTTTCCTATCCCGGACACACTGCGGGAAGTACTTGTCATAGAAAATTTTCAAAAATTTTGCCCAATCAGCATCTTTGTAATTCTCACGCATTAACATCCACCATCTTCTTGCTTCGTCTTCTAGCATAAAGGTGGCTAGAAGCACTTTCTGTGTATCCGAACACGAAAATACTTCAAACAGTTTTTCGATGCCGAGGACCCAAGCTTCAGCTTTCAAAGGATCTAATCCACCATGAAACTGTAGTGGTTTCATTTTCTTGAACTCTTTGGTGAGAGCTATGATTCGGTTATCATTCTGATTATCTGGCACAGGAGGTGCCGAAGGTGGAGGCGGCGGATGTGGTTGCTGCCACTGTTGTTGCCACTCCTGTTGCTGTTTCAAAGCTTCTGCCATTTCCTGTATCAGTCTTTCCATTTTGTCTATCCTGACAGTAGAGGATTCCTCTATCTCATCACCTCTTGTTCTCACCATTTGATTAAACTTACATTATACTTTGTACAAAAGATTCACAGGTATACATATATTACAGAGCATACATATTCAAATAATTTGCAAAGCAACAATTCACAAATTTATAACACATAGTTGTTCACATTGAAACATTCAGATGCATTCTCGATACTATCAAAGTCATTCTTATCACATGAATGCATCCTAGATCTTTTCTAGACGCTTATTGCTCTTTTGGACAAGTGTGTGAGTTATTCACTCGTGCTCTGATACCACTCTGTCACGACCCGAACCTGCCCCTATGGGTTAAGGCCATAACCGGCCAGTAATCACGAGATTACCAACAGCCTCAAACCAAATAAAATGAAACTCATCAGAGTATAAGGGCCAAACGGAAGCAAATTCAAAACTTTGTCCATAAAGCTGTGCTTATATGCACACCATCACATTCTAAACATTTATGTGTTAATAACTCACATCAAAATATGTACCAACACAGAACATTGTGCATACAGGATCATACAAGTTGAAGTCAGTCGAACCCAAGACTTATATACAAAAGTAGTCCAATGCTTTCGCCAACATAACAAAAACTATAAACAAAGGATAAAAGTGAAGACAGTCTGGTGCGTGAGACGTTTGGGTTGACTCCTCAAAACTCTGACTGTTTCTCACAATTTCACCGAGGCTGGTTCTGGACGTCCCTTGGCTCACCTACATTTACATGAATGAGTGTGAGCGAAAGCCTAGTGAATAATATCAAATAAGGTAGATACATAAGCAATCTTTGAAACAGTTACAGCAGACGGCCTTTGGCCCAATCACTTGGATCAATCGGCCTTCGGCCCAATTATTTATGTCAATCGGCCTTCGGCCCAATCATTTATGTCAATCGGCCTTCGGCCTTCGGCCCAATCATTCATGTCAATCGGCCTTCGGCCCAATCATTCATATCAATCGGCCTTTGGCCCAATCATTCATATCAATCGGCCTTCGGCCCAATCATTCATATCAATCGGACTTCGGCCTAACCATTCATGTCCATCGGCCTTCGGCCCAATCATTCATATCAATCGGCCTTCGGCCCAATCATTCATATCAATCGGCCTTCGGCCCAACCATTCATGTCGATCGGCCTTCGGCCCAATCATTCATATCAATCGTTGTCCACCATTCAAATTAATGAACTTACAAAGCTTACATAGAAGTAAACAATTGGACAACAGTATATTTCAAATATCTTGTTAAGATATTACTCACAATGATCGGCTTGTGGATTTGCCCTAGAGCTTGACCCTACATATCATATAACACATATGGGTCACATATAATTCAATCCGTTCTTTAATTCACATATTCCTCTTTAGGCTTCATTTTTATCTCTTTAATTCAATTACAATGCACAATGTATGCCTAAGAGTGCTTAGAAGTGAAAGAGAACGGAAAACAAAACACATAATGCATTTTCAAAATTTCAGAAAACAGGGTCCCCGCTCGAGCGTGGACTTCCCAGCTCGAGCGGACTCTTGAGACCTGCAAAAGTACTGGATATGACAAATTTACGCTCGATCGCGAACTCTGGCGCTCGAGTGGAAGGCTTCTCTACATGGCTCCCCGCTCGAGCGCGAACTTCCCCGCTCGAGTGAGAGTCATGTCTGCAAAATATGCTGGGAGCACGAATTTCACGCTAGAGCGGCGGTTTCCCCGCGCCGCTTGAGCGGACATCAATTTTCTGGGTTTCCCAACTGAGTTCTTGAGTTCAAATCCAGCATTTAAACCAATCCAACTTACATTTTATGCCTCAAACTTCAAATATTTTTATGCTATCATGATACAAACACCTATTTACATCAATATGGAGCTCAATTTCATAAATCAAACACATGCATGTCCCAATTGACACCAAACTCATTTCCAACATGCAAATTCATGCATTCATAGCTCCCATTCTTATAATTTGTACATGCATGTGATGTGTTACCCTTGTTCTCAACCTAGATGATGCAAATGATGTTCATTCTCATGAAACTCAACACAAACATGCTTGCATGTATGATTTAACACTCATAATTCCATATTCAACTTAATACATGCTAGATTATGCAATTTCATAGCAATTATATACATGCATGCATACATTGACCTTCAATTCAACGTAAACAACTCAATTCCACTTCAATCTTTACTCTTGATCATTAATCCACTTTGAATACACAAAATTACACATTAAACTCATGGATTCACTTACCTAGAGGCTCAATTCTTCCAATCTATAGTAAATTCTTGAGTAATCTTCCAAAATCTCCAAGCCTCAAGACCAAAACCTCAATCTCCTACACTCTCTCGCTAAGCCGACCCTCTCTTCTTTTCTTTGAGTTTATGATCAGTCCAAATGAAGCTAAGGAGAGAAATTGAGTGTATTAAGGCCCCACTCAACACATTATTTTATTATAAAACAATTGGGCACTTAATTCATTAATTTAATCTAATTAATTTGATCCAAATCAATTTCCAATTGAATTTTACCGTAGGCTCTAAAAATTACGCTAATTACAATGGCATAATCAATTTCGGGTTCTGTGGCCGATAAGGCCTTCAATTTAATTTCCAAAGCAGACAATCAAACAGATATTCCTACGGTGAATAAATAGAAATTCAAAACCACATATTTTCACGTAATAGCACACAAAATCATATTAAACACATAATCATACTCATATAAAGGACCAATTAACATAATACAGAACAGAGGTGTTACACATTACATATTAACACAACACAACTCAAAACGACAAACTACGATAATACGAAGGAAAAAAAAATTAAAAAATACGGTTACTGTTGAGGGAAATTTGGCATAAACTTGAGATGACGCCATATAATACAAACAATACAATATGATTCCCATAAGAATTGACAAAAAAATAAAAAAGAAAAAGAAAAATTCATATGAGCTGAGTTTGTTTAAGATGCAGTGGTAGAAAATAAAATAATTAAATATTTTTTGAGTTTGCTTTATATAAAAGTGGTGAAAACTACAACAAAAAAATTAATTTTGTTGTATAACTAATATTAGGTTGTAATTAACTTTGTAATTTCTTACATAAAGACACAGAAAAACACAAGAACGTTTATTTGTCCATAAAAAAAAAAGAGAAGTTATCTATAATTAAATTTTCAATTTTTTCTAATTTTTTCTTATAAAATTTTCATCTTAAGCAAATAGTTACAAGAAAATCTACTTTTCTTTCTATTTCTTTTCTTTCAGTTCATCTTCTTTCACTTTCCACCATTGTTTTTTCCCCTAATCAAACATTATCATGGTGTACAAGTTCCATTTTCCTTCAAGCTTTTATATGATGTAATTAGGTACATACATTTTGAATGAGATAAATCATACATATTTGGTTAGGCCAATAATTTTCATATGCATATTAGTCATGTATTTAAATACATACTTTGGCGGTGTTTGGGAAGTTTGTTTTTTTGGTTTTTTTTAATTTTTTTTCACTAAAAGACAAATTGGTTGCAAAACCTAAAAAAAAAAAAAAAATCCAAATAAAATATCACATCAAATTCCTTTTTCTCTCACAAACATTACATCCAATCACAAAAAAACTCAACTATCTTCCCAAACACAAAAAAAAAATTTCTCCAATAATATTTTACAACTAAAAGAATCTACAAAAAAACTCACTTTCTAAACACCCACAAAGTCATGTATTCAAATCTCAAGAAATGAAATAATATTTTAATGTTTTGTTCTCCACTCTTTATTAAAGTTACTCTCAATAATTAATGTACAATATGGACAGAATATGCATTCAAGAGATTAATTGAAGCGAAACTCCAAATATGAGGGGAGAAAAAAACTACTATACATATTTACCATAAATATGAGAGAGAGAGAGAGAGAGAGAGAGAGAGGATTTACCATAAAAAAAGAGATAACTACTGCACATTATAAATCCATAGAATATATATGTTCTTCTGACTTTGATAGCTTTTTCTTCTAAAAAAAGGAGTCATGGTAGAATTTTATAAGGTGCAAATGATGCTTCCAAAAAAAATTTAATAATAACAATAATTCAAAATAAGAACTTGGAAATTTACATGAAGCTTGGCTAAAGGCTAATTTGACAAATTCAAAGTCCACCAACTCTCCCTCAAAGTCTACTCTTCATCACTATGTGCCAATTCCAAGTTCCATATAATCAAAATGTTGGATATAAACTAGTTTGTCCCTCAACCTCTCCATCTATCCATCCACCATTTCCATTGAAAAGCCAGGCCATGGACAAAGAACAAGAGGAGATTCAGTTTCTTGGCTTCTTTGGCATCTTCAAAGAGTCCTTCAACATCATCTCCTCACGTCGAAAAATCTTCCCCCAAATCATTCTATCCCTTATCCTCCCTCTCTCCTTCATTTTCTTAGCCCACATTGAAATATCCAATCTCCTTTTCGCCAAGATCGCCCACACTGAAGATGCCTTATATCACACTCAGGCCGGAACCCCTAAATATTCAAAGCTCTCGGATCTCATCTCATCCGAATGGACCTCATTTTGGATCTTCAAAATCACCTACTTCGTCTTCTTCCTCGTCCTCTCCCTCCTCTCAACCTCTGCAACCGTTTACACCATCGCATGTGTCTACACTGCAAAGGAGATAACCTTCAAGAAAGTCATGAGTGTGGTTCCAAAGGTTTGGAAGAGACTCATGATCACATTCATATGGAATTTCATCATTGTTTTCATATACAACCTTGTTGCGTTACTAGTCTTAGTGATCTTTTTACTCATTGTTGGACATAGTAACATAATAGCACTGCCAATCCTATTCGCTCTCATCATCTTATATTTGATGGGTTTTGTCTACATAAGTGTTGTTTGGCACTTGGCAAGCGTTGTTTCGGTGTTGGAAGATGTTTATGGGATTCAAGCCATGATCAAGAGCAAGGGCTTGATAAAGGGTAAGATGAAAGTTTCCATTGCTATTTTTATCCTACTTAACCTATTCTTTATTGGAATTCAAGTGGTGTATGAAAGGTTTGTTGTGGTTGAGGACTCAATTTGGTATAGAATAGGTTTTGGGAGTGTTTGTTTGAATTTATTAGTTTTCTTGATTCTATTTGGCCTTGTCATCCAAACGGTGATCTACTTCGTCTGCAAGTCGTATCACCATGAGAGTATCAATAAATTCTCATTGGCGGATCATTTGGAGGCTTACCTCGGGGATTATGTTCCTCTCAAGTCCAAAGATGTCCAACTTGAGCAATTTGATGTGTAACCTTGATTTGTTGTTTTTTTTGATATTTGTATGAAGGTCTTGACTATGCTTTCAATGGAAATATGAGTTTTTTTGTTTTTTGAACTAGAGTTATCTTGTTATAATCATACAAGTGATATGATGCTATTTAGCTATAATATATAATTCGAAATTGTAATGCATTTGCTTGCCTTATACCCTTCTTTGTTTTAATTGACAACTTGACAATACAAATTATTTTTAAATGTCTAAAAAGTAGTGTTTAAAATTCCTTTGTTAGACTTATGCCAAAATAAATATAATATTATCACACTGCATTTTGGACAATTGATTTATGAAATTTATATGCGTTTTATAACTCTTTTAATTTTTTTATTTATTGAGGCTTATCTCATTGATGTTATGTTTGAAATCATCAACCACAAAAATTGATAAAACAAACAAATTTTTTAAAAAAAATTATTGAGTGCCGTGGCATTGTCCATTCCAAGAAATGATGTAAACGTCGTATGTAAGAATGCCAAACACGACACCCACCCACTAATGATTCAAGGAATATGTATTTATCTTCTTTTTTTTTTTTTTTTTTTTTTTTTTTTTTTAATTGACAATTTGACAATACAAATTATTTTTAAATGTCTAAAAAACAGTGCTCACAATTTCTTTTGTTAGACTTACACCAAAATAAATAGAATATTCTCACACTGCATTTTGGACAATTGATTTATGAAATTTATATGCGTTTTATAACTCTTTTAATTTTTTTATTTATTGAGGCTTATCTCATTGATGTTATGTTTGAAATCATCAACCACAAAAATTGATAAAACAAACAAATTTTTTAAAAAAAATTATTGAGTGCCGTGGCATTGTCCATTCCAAGAAATGATGTAAACGTCGTATGTAAGAATGCCAAACACGACACCCACCCACTAATGATTCAAGGAATATGTATCCAAAAAAAAAAAAAAAAAAAAAAAATCGACGGTTAATTTAGGGGTTAAAAATATTATAATTGCTATATAACTAGGAAAAGTCTATGAATCAGGGGAAAAAACTTATAAATAGTTTTAGAATTTCAGTTTGATGGTATGCATTTACTGTGAGCTCGTTTCATAAATGAATCTTAGTTTTAGATTTTATATTCTAAATAAATTTATAATTTTTTGTAAGTTAAATAATGTTAGATTTTATGAAAAAAATATTATGAAGACTTTTCATTCTTTAATTAGTGTGTGATGTTTTAGAATAATGTAAACCTTTGAATTACATGTATAATAAAATACCACATACTAATCAAAAGAGAAAAAAATATTTATGAAGCATTTCATGATATTTCTTTCATGATGATTAGCATTATTTAGTGTTTTATTATGTATGTAATCTAATGGTAGAAAATCTTCATAAAACATTTCATAATATTTCTTTCATGATACTTAACATTACTCTGGTAAATTTATGCACCCACTAATATAACTATCCCTATTATTAGTTAGACGTCATGTTTGCTTTGATTTTTAGAAATTTGTTTCACAATTTTTTTTAAAAAATTAAAAATTAATTTGGGAAAAGAAATAAAAAGTAAAAAAATACTTTTCATAAATTTTATCTTTTGAAAGGTTAGAAATAAAATTTAAAAATATTTTCTTGATATTTATTTTATCAAATTAGTTTTCATTTTTGTAAATAAATTTCTGAAACTTTTTTCTAGAGAAACAAACTAAGGCCATGAATGTCCATTCCATCCTAACGTTATCCCCAAGCCACCATGACTGGGATGCAAGGTCAACGGTCAAGTTTGGCTGGCCTTGCACAAAGCATAAATGATGAATTTTTATTTTTATTGTGAAGAACAAAAATAGGAAAGTCCGTGGGACATCATAACTTCTACAGGTCCTAATCTTAATATAATCAATTGACGGTCAAATTTAATCCAATTCATAGAAAAAGACTCTCCATCTTGATAATTGTGGACTCCACACCTACTCTATAATAAGGATTATAGTTAGTATTTGGTTCATTGAAATGGAGTAGAACGAAATAATGATTCCATCAAAATATTTATTCTCAAGTTTGATTGACTAAAAAAGCAATGAAAAATACAGTATAAATGAAATTATTACTCACCATTACAAGAGAATAATCATTTTATAAAAGAGTTTAAGGAATAACCATTTTATTCTATTCCATCTTGTTAGGTTTTATTTCTTGGCAAACCCGTTTGACAAAACTCCTTTGAGTTGTAATTTTATTCGCATTTTTATTTCAGTGAGACTATGAGTTGTTAGATGCGAATTCAACCCGAATCAAGCATTTCAGAGAAGTTTGTGATGATAAAGCTTTCAAGATTGCCACTTCGCTGATTATGACGGGGATCGAGCTGCCCGGTCAGCTCGGCGAATATTCTTTGTAAAATTCATTAGATGCCACATTATCATACACTACAACAAAAAAGGCTTTTGGTGATAGACTGATTTTGTCTCCAAATATCAAATTTTCGTCACTAAAGTGATCTGCGACGAAAAAAATTTGTCACCACGCTCGTGGCTTATACGTCGTCGCTGAAAGTACATGGTGACGAAAAATAGTTTCGTCGCTAAATGTTGAATTTTCCGTCCTCTATAACATCAATTCCGTCGTCAAAACTAAATAATATTTTATTTTAATTGTTTTTAGCGACGAAATATTTCGTCACCAAATAGATTTTAGTGACGAAAGTTTTCCTCACCAATGATATGATTAAGGTGACAAAAGAATTCGTCACTAAAATGAGCAGAAAAGAAAATTCTTCAATGACAAAAAATATTTTAGCGACGAAATACTCAACAAATGTGATGAAATTATTTGTTTCGTATTATATCATTAGTGACAAAATTATTCGTCATGTTTTTTGAAAACTAATAGCGACATTTTTTATTTCGTCACTAATAAAAATTAAAAAATTTGAAAATGGGGGTACTATTTTCTTCCGAAATTTTTTCTTTTCAATAACAATTCTCTGCGCATTTCAATAACCTGTTCAATAAAAAATCTATTATAAATCAATACAAAAATCTGTTCATTTTCATAAACATCACAATCGAATTTCAGCACTATCCACAAAAATATAATATGAACTGCATGCGGATTTTAAACATGTCTCCTAATATCTACAAACGTCTACTAATATCCAAAAAAATATCATATCAACCGCATGCGGATTACCAAACACATCTCCTAATATCCAACAACAAAACATGCCTACTAATATCAACAAAAATAAAATATCAATGGTGAATTACCCAACATGCCTTGTAATACCAACAAAAATATAAAATTTACAACGCAACCAAAATACATGTAAGGCAATATGAACAAAAACAAAAAATGAGCTACCATCTGCCCTCCAAATTAGCAAACGTGTCCATATCAAATCTCGAATCTGCAAAAAAATGAAACACAAAAAAAGAAAAAGAAAAAAATGTAAGTTAGACAATTATTATCTTATCCATAAAATATACAATTTAATATGCATTTTTCAAATTAGTTTTCAAATCGGGAGGCCAGTGCTAGTTCCGTAAGTTTTCACAACTTACATTGGTCCCTCCCGACGTGTTTGAGGTGTTCCCCGGACCGTCCCGTAGCTGTTGCACGATTTTGGCCTGCAAATGTCTATTTTCAAGCTTAAGTGTGAAAATGTACAATTTTGGACTCAGTTTTCAAACCGGGAGTCCCGTGCTAGTTCCGTAAGTTTCCAAAACTAACATTGGTCCCTCCTGAGATGTTTGAGGTGTTTCCCGGGCCGTCTCGTGGCTGTTGCACGATTTTGGCCTCCGATGGCCTATTTTCAAGCTTAAATGTGAAAAAGTGAATTTTTCGACTTAGTTTTCAAACCGAGAGTCACGTGCTAGTTCCGTAAGTTTCCACAACTCACATTAGTCCATCCCGAGGTGTTTGAGGTGTTCCTCGGGCTGTCTCGTGGCTGTTGCATGATTTTGGCCTCCGATGGCCTATTTTCAAGTTTAAGTGTGAAAAAGTATATTTTTCGACTTAGTTTTCAAACCGGGAGTCCCATGCTAGTTCCGTAAGTTTTCACAACTCACATTGGTCCCTCCTGAGGTGCTCGAGGTGTTTCTCGGGCCGTCTCGTGGGTATTGCACGATTTTGGCCTCCGATGGCCTATTTTCAAGCTTAAGTGTGAAAAAGTACATTTTTGGACTTAGTTTTCAAACTGGGAGTCCCGTTCTAGTTCTGTAAGTTTCCACAACTCACATTGGTCCCTTCCAAGATGTTTGAGGTGTTTCCCCGGCCGTCTCGTGGCTGTTGCACGATTTTGGCCTTCGATGGCCTATTTTCAAGCTTAAGTGTGAAAAAGTGCATTTTTCGACTTAGTTTTCAAACCGGGAGTCCTGTGCTAGTTCCGTAAGTTTTCACAACTCACATTGGTCCCTCCCGAGGTGTTTGAGGTGTTCCCTGGGCCATCTCGTGTCTGTTGCACGATTTTGGCCTCTGATGGCCTATTTTCAAGCTTAAGTGTGAAAAAGTACATTTTTCGACTTAGTTTTCAAACTGGGAGTCCCGTGCTAGTTCCGTAAGTTTTCGCAACTCACATTGGTCCCTCCCGAGGTGCTCGAGGTGTTTCCCGGGCCATCTCGTGGCTGTTGCATGACTTTGGCCTCCAATGACCTATTTTCAAGCTTAAGTGTGAAAAAGTGCATTTTTCGACTTAGTTTTCAAACCGAGAGTCCTGTGCTAGTTCCGTAAGTTTCTATAACTCATATTGGTCTCTCCCGAGGTGTTTGAGGTGTTTCCTTGGCCGTCTCGTGGCTGTTGCACTATTTTGGCCTCTGATGGCTTATTTTCAAGCTTAAGTGTGAAAAAATGCATTTGAAGAGAGAGACAGAGAGAGAGACAGAGAGAGACGTAAAATGTTGTCTAAGATTGTAAGGTTGAAAACCATGCAGTAACATCTGACTCGTTAAAAGAATTATTGCTAATAAACCTGCAAGTCACATTTTAGTCAATAAATAAATTGGTATGTA